AGACAGGCTGGACATGGCCAAAAGTGTTCTCATCGTTTCACGGAAGCCTACTGATAAGTATCGCATAGCTTCCAATTAGGCCTATTTGAACTTATAGGCGATTTCTTCTACAGGCCACAATCGGTCCAGGTGTCGTATGATATTTTTCCCCCCGTAATATTTCCCCCCATCTCCATTAATGGAAATTAAGGAACTTCGCCTCATTCCTCGGCGGCTATTTCTTCCGTGCCGTTTAGTGTTCCTTTTGCGCCTCCATCTGCTTCGCTAACGTCTAAGCCAGTGTTGACTCCTCGGGGTGATCTTGAAAGCCACATCAAAGATTCCTGGCAACGGAGGTAAAAGGCAAATGAAGGCAGCTGGCATGAAGGCAGGGAGGAAGAAACATCGTCCTCTGCAGGAGGATGTTCTGCTATGATATCGTTTGGTCAGTTTCTGACGGTAAATATTATATTCTCTTTCGGCAATCGACAAACATACAATTATACTTTTTAAAAGGAACTCCCTTCATTTCCATTAAGGGAGGTGGGGAAAAATATTACGGGGGGAAAAATATCATACAACACCGGCACCGGCACTGGCACTGGCCGATTGTTATGAGGAAAAAAATGGCCATCGGTACAGCCCTAGTTAATAGTTTTGCTGATATTTTGTATAATTTCAGCAATCTTGGGTTTTCAAACAGCTTAGCTAATTGAAAGGATCGAGAAGAAACGCAATATAACAAATGCATATACAGAGTGGGGTAAAAGTCATAATACAGTTGTTGAATATAGAACATAGTCTAATTTCTAACGTCATATTGACAGTTGTTTACAACGAAAACACAACAGAAAAATGATTGTGTAATATCAGAAGCTGCCAGCTTCATCCAGCAGTACTAATCTGAAACAAAGAGGGCCAAATTAGCAAAACAGCTTCATTCAGTGTACAAAAGCTGTGTAGTAACTTTTGTTCCAACATGTATAAGTCAGATAAGAAATACATTAGACGCGTGATGGGTTCATCTCTCAAAGCAATTGACGAAGATAGGTTAGTTCTGGTTTTCACGCGACAATGTTTGACTATCAAGGAAGTAACATTTGAGGACGTATTCTTTAGCTGTTGTATGCATGCAAGCTTCTCTTTCAGCCTCGAAAACCACCCGAGTTGTACAGAAACTGTGCTTCCCTCTCCGAATGCTTTCTACATTTCATCGACNTTGGACGTGTTTTGGTTCATATGCTTCCCACAAATGGTTGGGGTGCTATTGTTTGATTCCTGTGGATTTCTTGAAGAAAAACAGGCACCTATAGAGTGGAGGATAAAGGGGTTACTTCTGAATTTGTGGAATATTTTTGAATGAACAGTGATCATTAATAAATTTTATCCCAGAGGAAATGAGAACAGAATACTGCCGAAGTAAATGAATTTGACAATTTTTAATTTTTCAAATAATCCACACCTAGGTGTGAGTCAATAAAATTTATCAGATAAATTTATTTCACTCACAAATTTAGAGTACTACTTTTCTAATGCACTATTGGCAACAGAACAAAAGGTTGAAAGGAACAATTGTAGGACACATCAGTATTGCAATAGAATATGCATGACATATTTTTATTTTAAAAATTCCTTCATTCACGATTGGTCCAAAACCCAGAGACAAGGTGGACAAAAAGAAAGCATGAAACTGGCCCATGAGACAAAGAGGCACACATCGACTTCCAGGGAATGGCACAACATTGTCACCAAGTCTGGGACTATTTATCACATACCAGGTAGGTACAACGATCGCAAATGCTTCATAGGCAACCATATAGTGCCTTCTGCAGCAGAAACAACCTTCTGAATGGACATATGCCATGAGAAACTTTGGTACCAGGATTCCCCTCTTGCTCATTCAAGCTTTAACTGCACAAGGTGCTGTTTACATACCCAAACTACAATGTGTTTATCATGATTCATGTATACATTTTTTTTTAAAGAGTATGCTGTACATTCATCACATCAATTGGCAGGGGAGAAAAGCATCTCACTTCAAGAATCATGCAAGCTAAAAATTCATTCGGAAAAGATTTTCCTCCAACTTACTACAAGCCAAGCAGTATTTTCAGGGCTTTGTCACCTTATTTGATGTAAGTATCATCTTGAGCAAAGGCAAAAAAAAAAGAAATCAGGCCTTTTCCCTATCTCACCAAATGCCTAGGCCTTGGAAGAAAGACAATTGCAAAAGTAACAAAGGAAAGTAAAAAGGCACGATCTCACAAACTGACATTTAGAGCACCAATGTTATGACATAATGGAACACATCACACATGAGAATGCAAACTGAGGAGGGAAGGCTTTTCATGTGGTCATTCATCCCACAGGCACTGCTGCTTCTGGAAAACTCCATATGTAAAAGCATAGGTTCGCTTGCAAGTTCGAATTCCACATCGGTAGCTTTGAACCTTTCCTGAACTGTCTTTGCCCTGACAGTACTTGAGTCCACATGGATACCATGGAATTTGAACATAGAAATGGCATACACAGGGCTGGCTCCAGTCTTTAACTCCATCACATCTTGGTGGAGTCTCATTCAGAAAGTGGTTTAAAACAGTGGGCATCTCCAGCATCTCATTGTGGGCTGAAATAGAGGAGAATTTAAAAAGACTTTTACATTCTTTTGCTGGAAGAGTTAGCCTGTACCAAGTTGAATGCATATGAACTTTCACTGACCTCTTTGCTCCTGCCAACCAATCCAGTCCTGTTCTCTGAGATACGTTGAATGCTGAGCTTCACTGCAAAAGTCCTCTAGCAAAGGTGAGAGCATTCCTCCTTCAGATGGTGACATCTGGAGGTTGAAGTCAAAAGCCTCTTTTCCCCTATCCTCTTCTGGTACCCTCAATGCACCTGGATTTTTCTGCACATTCAAGATGAGCAGAAACATATTAGTTTTTCAATAACCCCAGGCCTTCACTCCCGTGGAATTCAAATGACAACTGAAACAATGTTCTGTGATTCATAATGCTAAGAAACAGGAAATTCCAATTCAAATCAACATCCTTTTCAACAGAACATGCTCTACTGAGACACAATGCACATTTACCTGTCTTAATTTTGATATAGCTTCTGATGGAATCAAATCAGATGTTTGATCAGCTAGGATGAAACAGAGGACTTGATATTGGTTTTGACCCCTCTCTTCCTCTCCCAGTACTAATGCACGTAGCACAAGAACCTCCTAAAAAATAAAGGGACATGTCAAATGTTAGATATAATGACTTAATGCAACCAAGACTATAATACTTCCAAGTTTCAAGGAATCAACATACATTTGTGAAATCTGAGAGTTGTGTTACTAGAGTTCCATCCGATCGTTGAAATTCCAGAATAACGATGTCCTTAGTAACATTAGCATAGAGAGTTTCCTCCACGACATCACCTCCCTGAAAGATGAAATGTAAAATATTACACATATTGAGTCAGTTCAAGAACTGACACTGGTGCATTAGGCTTCTAAATAACAAGACTCCAGAGTTTGATACCAACCTGATTTTTCACACTGATCACCAAATCCCCGAGAGAACACGTAAAAAAGTTGAATAAGGTGAAGGCATTCAGTATCAAGACGAGAAGTCTGACAAGTCGGTGCTGTAGAATGCAAACAACTCCACTGAAATGTGGCCATGTCAACTGCCACATTTTTTAAATTCATTGAAAACCTTTAGCTCCTTCAATGCGTTATAACCCATGGCTATCATACACTGCCATTTCAGGTGGCAAAAGTCTGACACGGGCTATTGGACCCATATACAATTAAGACATCTCTATGCCAATCGATAGCTGCTTCTATCGACAGTGTATAAACCACTTCCACATATTAACACAAAAAACAGAGGGCAAACACTTTTAATGCTCTTTACATGGTTACCCTCTTCGTGAGTAGTGCAACCCAAGTGCAGGCAAGCAGGCGCACCGTGATGACGTCACGTTCTTCAGGAATACGAGAAGTGATGCCGTATCTGAATTTCCTGAATCCCAGATACATACTTGACTTTCACTGATCTTCATTGCTTAGAATAGTCGTTTTTTACATGTAAAATATCCCAACCTTCATCAACGAACTTTAGAGAAACATGCCCGAGAAATGGTCCCGTGAATGAAATTGAAGAATAATATGACAATGTCTAGGTGTCTGTAAATGCCGGTCTTATGTTTGGCTCCTCATTCCGCTTTCGCTGCACGGACAAGGATTCCACAAGCCTTCTGGTCAACTTTCGCCTTCAGTAATTTCTGCGTGAGTTAAGCCAGACCTAGACTAAGTATCTTTGCTCTCGCAGCAAATAGGCTAGATTGGTTCGCCGGTTGGCTAGTTTGTCAGCCAAAGGTATTATGCTGCCTGGTAGGTCCACTCAATGCATACTTAGTACTTTTTGGTCGCTCTTGAGGGATGTTTTTCTGTTATTATTCATTATTTCTCATTTCAAGAAAACAAGTGCTTAGGTTCAAAACGTTATGCTTGTTTTCATAGGCGTTGAATGGGGATTTCTGGTGATAAATTAGATGTAACTTTATGGCGTAACGTATAACGTTAGGCAGCTTCGGCCTAGGACGAAATATTACATTTGAGATTCAGAAGGCATTGGCTCTTTAATTAGGTCGCATAGATTGTGACCAGGCAAGGAGACATCATCGACAGCCTCAGTGAGTGTACAAAGTGCAAGAAAAAGGGCAGAAGCTCCTGCTCTTGTTATAGGTTTCCTATGCTCTTGGGCTCTGGCTCCTGTATCAAAACTGCCTCCTCCATATCCCTTCAACCTTGTTCCTCATCTGGGTAGCCCTACTGTGTTTCCCTGCACCCTGTGTCCTGCAGATGCTGCATATGGTTCTCTGACTTACATCTTATAAAGCAGTAATTTCTCTTTAAAGTAGAAAAGCATAGCAGATGTAGAACTCAAGGCAAGTGACTTGAATAATGCAATAGCAATTGGGCTACTGTGCCTCACCCTTTTATGGAATCACTCTACAGAATCTATAGTGATTTTCATTTAACCTGAAATATTGGCTGGTCATTTCTTATACCTGCATTCTTTTTTTCTTTTTTTTAACATCATTAGTGCTCTGATGTATCAAATCTTACATAACTCATCTCATAATGTTTAACAATGTTTCAATCAACAGTAAATTCTATCACAGTGGCTGACTAGGCATTTCTATAAAATGAAACTATGACACTAACTGAAATTGAAATTAGGGAGACAAAAAAAAAGGAAACTATGTGCAATATATCACTTATGGACTGGATGAAATAATTACACAAATCAGACTCTCCTCCAGGGATCACCAAATGAAGACAGATGACCTCTCTGGCTAATGATTTGTTTAAAACCCTCCTTCTCTTTCACTCCCTCACTCTTTATATGACAGACATGCTGAAGTTATGAAGTCACTCTCCTCTGTCTTTCCCAAATATGCATGCCATTCCAGAACAAGCAGAGATCTATTTTGACAACTGGCACCTGCAAAATCCTGTTTAAGTAAATGGGACATCCTCCAGGTACCTAAATCCTAAATAACTCTTAACCCAGTAAATGATAGGGTCTATTATCACCATAAAATGGGTCTAACAGTTGCCCCAACCTAATTTCACCTATTAGAACATCATGATGAGGTCTCACCTCTTCTCTTGTAGTTGCCATTGCTTCTTTTAACTAACAAATAATAAAAAGCAAAACAGGTGGAACCTTGGCCCCCCAACCAGGACTATGGGACATCTTCCCATTGTCTAACATTAGCTTAGTGTGGGACTTGCACTCTGCC